CCTCCTTTGTGATTTTTTGTGAGGTATTTGCACCAGTTATGGCATGCTGGAAGGAGTATATACACAGAGACAATGATCTGCGGATCAAGCTACCTATTCCATATTTGTTTATGTCAAAAACAAAAGTCAAAAATTTGATTGGAACAATAAGCAAACCTGAACTGTGCATGTCAATCGATTCTCAATTAAAAATATATGGGAAACAGAGTGAGCTCTGTAATGCGTATCCATTACCAGGCGAGTAATAGACATCCCCCGGAAATACAACCACATTCCTGCTCAAGCACTTGATGGCTCAATGCACTCCTCAGAACGGGCAGTAAGTAAGTTCTCATCTCCCTTTGCGGTCTGCTCTCCCCCCCAGCAATTGATAGTCGGATGCTGAACAAGTTTTAATGTCTCGAATGGAGGCGGCGGTGGTCATGTGCATAGCTCATTAGTTTTTCGCCTAATTTGAAAGGCCAGAGACGAGAGTTCGATTCCTACCCTGGCCCTGGCACTGGCCCTGGCCCTGCCTCTGGCCTAATGGAATTCAATCAATTTCCATTTACTTCGATAAGGAAGGTCGCCCCATCAGGCCAACAGTGGAGGGGGGGTCGTGTGGGAGTGGAAGTGTGGCGGCCATCCCAAAATGGGGAACTGAAAAATTTCTTAATTATCCTGACGTGGAATGGTTGTGGGCGGCGGCTGGGTGGGTGGCTTGGTTGACAAGCTGACTGCTGCGGCCGGCTGTTGCGTGGCCCTCCTCCCTTTGCCGATTTTGCACTCCCTCGTCAGCTTGTGGGCATTCTGTTTCCTTAATGTTTGCGGACAAAGCAAGACAAATGGATCGGAGCCAACCACAGCAGAAAAAAAAATTACTGTGAACATTGAAGAAATGTTAAGTTTACTTTAAACGGAAGCGAAGAGGGACAGAGTGGGAAATCTTCTTATGTGCAGCTTAAATTTGACATCTCCACGGGAGACTCCCACATTAAATATTAACTCTCAAGTTTAAATCATTTCGATTTATGAAATTTGATTGGATGCAAATCGTTTCCCGCTGATAATAATCTCGGTTGAAAACAATATGCCACAGATGTCAATGCAACAATACTCGGAGACGGCAAGGAAAATCCCTAAAACATGCTACGCCAGAACGAACGAAGGGACGGACGACGTGGGGAAACCGGGGGGGCGGAAAATAAGGATGAAAATGCTGAAAAGCGTATAATCTGCTTATCAAAGGGCTGCAGCCCCTTTTTATACGTACTCGTAGCACCGCTCCTTGCCACCGCCCCCTTAGGGGCGCCTATCACAGTCGGGCAAGGGCGCGCAATGATTCTAGCAAAAATGAAATGAAAATTGTAAACAAAGAGAAGTGAAAATTTGATTTACATTTTCATGCGCAAAACGAAACTGAAATTAAATTGTTACCCAGCTTTCGGTTTCGTTTTGCATTTTGTTTTACGTATAAGCAAATATGAAAACAAATGAAAGGAAGTGAGAGACCCTAGGTGGCAGGAAGTCTCCTTTTGAATGGAGTTTTTAAAACAAAAATATTTTATACCCAAAGAAATATTCGTTAATTGTTTAAGTTTGAAAGGAAATAATTATGTAAGGAAATAAATAAACAAAACAAAAAAAAAAAAAGTGGAAACAACTCAGAAATCATTCAAGGAATCTGCCCCAGAGCGGTGCAGTGCCTTCACCTGCCTGCCAATGCTGCAATGCGACTGAGATTATTATGTAACCGATATCTGACCCTACATGTGCACACATACATATGAACACACTGTACATATTTATGTGCTTAAGCCGTCGGTCAAGGGGTTCAACCGAAGTCAAGTCATGTTCATTAAAAAGCGCAACAAACTGCAGCAAAATCTGTATGTTAAATCTTGAGAGCCACAGACAGAGTCGGGTCCGTGGCAGGCACAGAAGTACGCGAAACAAGAGCAGCCCTGCCTCCGAAAACGGGGGGAAACAGACACCAGATGAGGCAAGAAGCTGCAGACGCAACTTCTTGCGCCGCCTCAATTATAATGAGAAAAGCAAACGAATTGGAAATAATTTTCAATTCACTTGTTTCCCACCTACTTTCGTATACGAGGGGCATGTGTGTGAGTACGAGTGTTTTCTGCTTATTTGGGCGATCTTCAAATATTTATGCGCCCTTTGTTTTCATTTATTTATTTTACTCGCGAAACTTTTTGCATGCAGCTCGAAATTCAAATCGAAATCGGAAACCGAATCGGACGCACCTTCCTCTCGATGTCTGGACCGGCATGGGCACTGGGTACTGGGTACTGCCGCTGGCTTAGTTTTGGGGTCCTCTGCGATTGATAAAGCTGTTAATATTACTTTTTACCGGCCAATGGAGTGGGCACAATGGGCAGGCACAGGTACAGGTACGGGTACGGGTAGGTGTGGCTTGTTTGCTGACGATAAGCGAAACTCCTTCGGCAAAATAATGAATTATTTATGCAGCAGGCACCACAACGGTGGAGTGCAGAGGGAGCGAAATGAATAGCTGAATGAATATGTTAAGGCTAAAATTAATTGGCCAGGACTACAAAGCCAACAAACAGCTCACAAGCAGTTCTCCGTATAATCTCATGAAACAATTTATATTCGTAGGTGCATAATTAAATATTAGAGGAATACTTAAGCTTGCGTCTGTTGTGGTGCACAGGATACTCCGGCAAGTGCAGCCCTCGAAGCTCTTCCGACTTTTCGCTTTGGATATTTACACACCGAACGGATCCGGAAGCTGCAAGCCAGATCCTTTTGTGGAATGCAATGCTGCCTGATCCAGGCAGCTTCATTAATCGATAACATCGGCTCGACTTACGCCTTCAGATGGCTGCCCTGCCGGCATTACTCTTTACTTAACCTCTTAATGCAAATGCTGCAAATTAAATAAATTTCTTTGGCTGCCATCTCGCCGATTTGGCCCCAGAAGTTTGCGTGCCAAGACAAAATGAAACCCTTTACGTGCACAAGGTGCTAAAAGTTTCCGAGAAACTTTTCCAGCTGTTTATTTATTTGTTTGCTGATTATGGAATTTTTACGAAGCCGATACGAAGGCGGGAGAACTGAGAAATTTACTATGCCAACTACAGACAGGTGAAAAATAAATTGGATGGTGAATATTTTTGATAAAAAGAACCCTTTAGCCCGCTGGATCACTTGTTTCTGTGTGCTCACATTTAATAAGGAGGCTGCTGCTAGATCCCGCAGCTTAGCCACACATCCCTGATGGGTGTTGGGTTGGGTCTTCGATTTGCCAAGGAAAACTTGTTCATTATTTCTTTTTGTGTTCGTTTGGGTTCGTATTAATTAATTTCCATTTCCGTTTTGTTATCGTGGGTACGCCGATTTTTACCTTCATGCTGACTAGACAATTAATCAAGTTTAATTACGGGGGAAGTGGCGCACCCACCAACCGACTCCTTATCCACTCGCGTTGCGAGTCGCGAGACGTGGACCCCCCTGAGGGTCCTCGATGTGGTGGGGCCTCATTGGCCGGCTCCTGCATTAATCACTGGAATATGCTCACATTTCTCAGAGCCATACATATGTATGGGGTGGGGTAGGGCGGGGGTCTCTGGCCACAAGATAAAGCCCGCTATTAGGAGACGCCGCACGTATAACAATACATCTGGATTGCGATGGGTCATTTAAATATTTTCGCTACGAAATGGCTTTAGCTTGGGCCAAAGCAAGCCAAGTGTTTCCATGAGGCTTGGTTTCTTTTGCTCAGGGGTTTCTCAAGGAATTCTTTTTCTTCATATATTTTAAGCCCTTTCTCTAATGAAATTATACCTCAATTTCTCCTGCGAGCAATTTATCGACTAAGCCTGAAGTATTGGTTAATTTTCCCCTTCACAATAAAGTTATCATCAAGCAGTGCGTATCTGAAACTGTAAGATTTTGTTCATAGCAAGCAGTTTACTTTTAAATCAATCCGTTTATCCCTGATTGTGTGGACTCGACTGAAGGAAGTTAGCCGCAACAGCAACGCAGACCTGGCAAAACATAGACTTAAACATCGCGCCTACTTTTATGCTCGAATCTTACACTTACACCCAAAAATATGCTACGAATTATATTCACTGACACAAGCTGACTGCCATGACACTGTGCACGAAAAAACCAACAGAGTAGCGCCACTGTGTAAAAGTTGCCAATTTCTTAAAAACATGCTGCCAACAACCTAACATGCAGCCAATGTAATAACATCATGTTGCCAATAACTTAAAATGTTGCCAGAGGAATTGCAGCATGCTGCTGGCAGCAAACTTTCTAATGTTACAAATATTCAAATGCAATAAAAATATGAAAATATTGTGGTGAAAATGAGTTTTAAAATATTTAATAATTGTTTAATTTAATTACGTATTAAATTATACTATTAAATGGGTATCAGGGGTATCGGAGTGGTCTGGGCGATCTGATCTTCGTGCGAAGTCTTTGAGCATGCTGACCTCTTGGTTGCACTGCCCCATCCAAAGCTATGCAGCAAGGACTAAGCCTGAAGTCGATTGAAGCTGCTTGCAGGATAATTAAAATAAAACACTTTAATCCACATTGATCCATGTTAAACCTGCGATCTAATGGCCAGAAGGGCGGTGGGTGGGGTGTCTACTATCAGCTCCGAACTCGAATCCGATGCGAATGCTGACGCAGATGCGAATCCAATCCGTTTTTCTGTTAGCCGAGCGAAACACGTGATGCGTAAGCGTAAGCGTAAGTAGCAACAGCGCGTGTGTTGTGTGCGCCGGACGGGACGGGACGGGATGGGACGGGACAAACTATCAAATCAAGAAACGATTTGCTAAATCGGTCCGATGACTTAATTTCAATTTGAGCAATACGAGGGCAGAGATTAGGAGATCAGGGTGGCGGTACGTCTGCTGGGAGCGCGGATTGATTGTTCGTTTGGGGTGAATGGGGAATGGGTACGGGGAATGGGGAATGAAGTCATCGCTTATTTAAGGAAAAAACTATGACGGGCCTAAGGTGCGTATTTAGATTACTTTATTTAATATTTAAAATTAATATAGAATTATAGAATACGGTATATTGTAGTTATGCATTACGTTGGGGGGCGTGTTCTGTATTCCGCTGAAGTACAACTTAAAAATATCACACACAAATACCACGCCAGAAAGAAGACTCCCTCCAGCATCCTCCCTCATCGATTAAGTTCATCATCCTGCTGGACTAGCGCTGCTTTTAAGGACACTCCTTGTCGCTGATCTTTTGGAAGCCTGTGGGGGGGAAAACACAATACGATAAAAGAGGCATGAATAATGAAGTTAAAAATCGAAGTTCCCTTCTTCGCTACTCACTGGCACTCTGCAGGCAATTCTCCGTCTTCATTACACACAGATTGCGATAGGTCCTGGTGGTGCCCTTGTCATCGGCGGCACAAATTGCCGCATACTCCTGCGTATCACAATCCATGGCGCACTTCACATTGGGATCGGGCAGGCTGAGGCACTGGACCACCGTCAGGGCGTACAGCGCCACTATAAATAGACAAAAACAAAAAAGAAGAGCCACATCAAAGTTTCATCGTTAGTTAGTTAGGCAGGAGGCGTGCGAAAAGAATCACTCTGTCGAGTGCCGCATACAAAGTGCTCTTGATCAATGCCCCCATCCCCTCGCAATGATATCACCCACATCGCCGCCAACACAACAGCCCCGTACGTACGCCCATCGATTCTTCGCGACGCCAGAGCGTCTGGCATGTCGTTTGGCCTGGCAGTCTAGTCTCCACTCCAGCAAGCGGGCAGCATTAGCGCTGCATACCCAATTAGCCATGTCACACAAAATCCGAGAATCACAATCAGAAACTGAATCTGGCCTTGCCTTTGCCTCTGCCTAATCTGATGACTCAATGATGAATCTCTGAAACTTTCCATTCATAAGTTTTGCCATTGCATTTTGAATGGAGCTGCCCCTCATTTGAAATTCGTGAAAATGTGGATTTCCCCAGCCCCGATTCCCCGTCTACGCTGCCATAAAAATCACAAATAGGTCAGACTCTTGTTGCTGTTTCTAGTCGTGTTTCATATTTCTAAGATTGATTGTAGAAATTGTCAATAAATGAGTCACATCGAACAGTGCACTGGACATTGATACTCGTACTCGTGCTCGTATTCGTATGGAAAAAAAGCAACATTCAAAAGATTATTTTACTATGGAAAGAATTGAAATATTTTGAGGCAAGCTTTGAAGGAAATTTGTACTTAATTCTTAGATTTGTTTAACTTTTACTGGAACTTAGCCCCATAAAACCTTTGCTTAAACCTTTTCGTTGTGTTTTGCTAGTTAGAATTTTAACTAAAACTTGTAAAAAATATGCCCAAAAATGTACGTACATGCCAGCAATACTGCAAACAGCTTCATATTGTTGATTGTTGTAGACTTCCGTTTAATTGTCGCAGGTATTATTCTTTGCAGGGTTCTTCCGCACTTTAACGCACTTTGCACAATAGTTTTTATTTTTTATTTTGTATTTGCTCTGTGTGAACTCTGGGGGGGGCCAGACGAATTGATTATGCCGCGGCTGCTTGATATATTCTATATAAAATATATATATATAGATTCCCGATTTGGGGCTTGTCACTGAACTTCAGACACGTGTATATGTGTGTGTCTATATGTTTTTTGTTGTTACGTTTAATCGCGCACGATTCTGATTCTGATTCCGTTGCTCTGCTTCTACTGCTGCTTCTGATTCGAATTCGAATTCAATTCAATCCAATACGATTTTGATTTTGATTTTGATTCGGACTCTCTGTCTCGTCTCGGCGATGCCGCACCAGCACGCGTCCAAATGCGAACTGAAACTAAAGCGCCGCGCAGAGATATCCTCCGGCCCAGCGTGCGGCGTACGAGTGGTCGATTGACGAACTGACTAACTGACTGATTGATGGCTTGACGACTGCGACTGGACGTTGGATGCTGCTGCGATATGCGGATGGTACGGGGAAGGGTTGTGTGTGCCTCCGCGCTGTTAGACACAGATACGAGATGATGCCGATACAGATACGCGATACGGGATACGGGATACTGCTGACTGCACAGCGATTCGATTTTCAATTTGGAGTTTGAGTTTGGGTTTTGGTCTGGGGTTTCGGGGTCCAGCAATCAATCAATCAATGACTGTCCCTACGTCCGACTGGATGGTTGGCTGGCTGGCTGGCTGGCTGGCTTGGCTGGCTATCTGTATCTGGCTGTTGGCTGATGGCTGTCGTCTGCCGTTTGCCGTCGTAGCGCACGAATGAATGATGTCCGACCACACAGTGTCTGTTAGTTTTATAGAATTTTTTGTTCATGCTAAAAAGATTTACGCTCGTGTCGTCGTCTTCAATTTTCTTTTTGTTGCGGTGTACAGCATTTTGCCTTTACTCTTTACCTTTTTATCTCATTCGATTGAGTATTTGCGGTGGTGGGCTCTGCTTGGCTGTTAGCTTGGCTGGAAGAATCATACGAACACCGATACGATCCGATACGATACGATCCGATCCGATCGGTAGATTGGGCGGGCGATCGTTTGATCGATACTTCTCTGTCCCTCAATAGGCAAGTCACGTCACGTTGACGTTGTCGTTGTCCCAACTTGTTGTTGCTGTTGCTTTGGCTGCTGCTGGCTGGAGTTTTGTATTTGAATTATTCATGTATTTATGCAGTCACCCAGAAATGCTGTTGCTAAAAATTCTCGTCCTCGGCCCCGACGCTGTTAATTGGTTCACGTACCGTTCAATACTGTTTTTCCTCCTCTCTTGGTTCGCTTCGCTTCGCGTTGCTTTGCTCTGCTCTGTGGCATCTTTGAAAATTTCGTCAGCATAACCGAACCCCAAAGCCGTCGCACGCTTATCAGAGAGCGAGAGGGGCACACCCGAAATGTACAACAAAAAAATATACAAAAATACAAAATAAATAAATAAACCAAAGCGAAACAAAACCAAAAAAAAAAAAAAATAAATAAATATGTGAAAATTCTTTCAATTTGCGACGGCCACGAGTTCACAGCACCCCAGCACAAAAATGTCTATGAATTTTCTCTTTGATGGTAGGCAAGCATACGTATTGTGGTCCACATACTCGTATGTACATATATCCATAACTATATGTAGGTCTGGTCTGGTCTGTTATTTATGGCTACGCGACGCTTTTCATTTCGAATTATTTTAATTTACATTTTTTAAATTTCTTTCCCATAGCTCATACTCGTAGGATCTTTGCTGTCTTATCGGCGGCGTGGTCAAACGATTATCGCACAGCTCATTCAATAATTATAATCGAATTGGTTTCCATTGGCTGTGATGCATTGTTTCGTTTAATGCGTAATTGGGCGATTTCCATGGGGTTTTTACCTTTCAATAAGCAACACAAATTGAGTCACAATTAAACGAATTAAATGCATTATGCTTACCCAGCTAAAGTAACCTGTGGATGGGCCTTGGCGTACTGCCAGCAAAGTAAACAAACTAACGAACGATGTTTTGCTTCTGTTTAGTTTTATGCTAGTGCGCCTAAGGCAGGACTACTTAGGAAGTGTTTTTATTTCAAAAAAATGTGCACTACAAAGAGGTTCAATCGAAGTCTAAGCTCAAGTCTACTTGCTACTGGCAAACATTGTTAATCATAGCTTAGGTCTAGTATTGTACTAACGCGAGAAGATGTCTTTCTAAGTGGTGAATTATCTCTAAATTTCAGCTATAAAATTCTACTAAAAATTGTCAGTTGGGAATTATTAAAGTACAGAAAGAAAGCTAATTGGTTATGCGATTTAGGTCTGCAGTAGTAGCGCCACACCGGCCAGAATCCATTTGCCGGGCTTGTCTTTGGTCTTCAGATTCAAGTTCGATACGTAGGTGGTGGGGCCACGGGTGCGGGTCTTGTAGACGGGGCACTCGTACATATTCCGCAGATCTTGCTTGTCCTGGGTAATGGCCTGCAATGGACAAATTATTCGCCATTCGTAAGGGCATCTAGTTTTGAGAATTTATTCATGCGGCAAACATGCGCCAAACTTTGAGACGCCACAGATTCTCATTCTCAATTCAGCACTATCCAAAATTTGCATTACAACAACAACGAGAAGAAAAGACTCACCCGAATATTGATCACTGGCATTGATGGATAGAGTTCTTTGAGCCGCGATTCCATGATAATGCCCTGCTGTATATCCCATCTGGCGCCCTCCATGAAAATGCCATGCACGCAGCAGCCGTCGCGCGGTGCCGTCCTGTAATTACAAACATCGGCAGATCGTGGATCTTTAATCGAGCGTTTATCGCTGTTTAATTAGGGGGGGGTGTGTGCTAATGTCGCGACGGTGCCACAGCCATTGTTTGCTTAGCGCTGCGACTGCCGTCTGACGCCATGTAAAACGTGTGCGACGTTTTGTCGACCAGGGCGCCACTTAATAAGCAATCAGCTTGCTGCCACAATCAGGCACACAGACAATTGTAAATTACATGAGGCTATTAATAATTCCTATTTATACGCCCCTACTCCACTCCCCGCCACACCACACAGCTCCCCGCCACTCCTCGCCACACTGTGGGCTTTTAAAATTAGCTCTTATGAAATAGCATTGCGGCTATTAATAGACACACTCAATGAGTGGCCATTGGCCGCTGTTTACACAGAGTGCCCGTGCCCGTGCCCGTGTCCGTGCCCATGCCCCCTCTGCCCCTTACATGTTGCAACATCCATGCCATGGAGATTAGGGGGCGCGCTGAGGGTCGACAAACCGATTATCTATGACTGCTTAAAGAGCTTACAGGCAGCCAAAGCTGCTCAAATATTACGAGTATTCTTTCTATGCAACGCGAATAAAAAAAACAATCAGCGCAGCATTAATAATTCTTTGCTCTCTCTCTGCTCTCTCGCTGGGAAGGGTCAGCTGAAAAGTCAATTGGGTATGGGCCGTATCACTCACGTAAATTCCTCCTTCTGCTTCTTGGTCACGTCACACTGCAGGCACATCTTGTCCAGCGGCAAATCGTTGCGGCGCGCAGTGCTCTGCATGATGGCTGTGAGCAGGGACTGCGGATTGAAGAAACCAGCCAGCCACACGCAAGAGGGCAGCTGCAAGAGCGGCAGAGGCCCAGACACCAGAGAGTACAATAAAAGAGTAGCCAAGCTAAGTTCGGACTGAGAGCTTACCACAAAATCGGTGGACCAGGTCTCAAGCTCACGCAGACGCAGGCACAGGTCAATGAACCAATTGTTGAGACCCAAGAGCGAGGGATACGCACGCTGCGTCCAAATGGGCGGCACTTGATCCAAAAACAGTGAATTCTCCAGCACCTCCATGTCCGATGTAATTGTCAATTCACCCTTCAGGCCCAAGTCCAGCTCCTTCAGGCTGCGCTTCATTTCGCTGGTGAGGAAGTTCATGCGCTCGCACTCCTGAAAGGCCACTATCACATACGGCGTGCGCTCCTCCACCTTGTTCATGATCTCCACCATATTGAATTCCTCCGGCAGCTTCTCAATTATCTCATCGACAATCTGCTTGACCTTGTCCTCGCGCGTCACCGTCGCCCCCCCGCCAGCGCCTGCGTCGCGTGGCTGCATCTCGAAGACGGTGCGGAAAATGTTCTCGGCTCGTGTCGTTAGAAAGCCAATCTCCGCATTGGGATGCAGCCCATAAAGGTACGGCGACTCAGCCGGCATCATGTCGTCCACATAGCTGTGATAGCCCTGGTAGTCGGTGTTGGGCGGTGCGGGAAAGCCGGGCGCCAGAAACAGTTCACCATCCACCAGATCCGGCTGCATGTACTCCTCCAGATAGGTGATGCACAGCCGCCTGTCCCAGTCGTCAGTGATGTGGCCGCCGTACATGATCTCGCCGAACAGATAGCGCAGATCCTCCCACGGCACCTTGGCATTCGCCTCCAGATAATTGTACAGCACCGACACACTGATGTTCAGGTCGCCCACATTGAAGGGATAGATCTTGTTCCAGCCCTGTGGGCCGAATTTGCGCCGCTCTGCCACCACGGCATGGAAGTAGCAGAGCGAGAAGAGAATGGCCTTGAACTCGGCCTCCTTGCCCGACATTTCCAGGGTCTCCTGGGTGAAGTTATCCAGCGCCTTGTGCAGATTCGCCAGCATGCCAGTCGGTGGTTCGTTGGTGATCTTGATGGACGATTCCAGTATGCCCTGCCATCGATATGGAGAAAGATTTACTTGCTATAACTTATAGATTTATTTCCCCTCGATGTGTGTTACCTGTGGTATTATGTGCGCCGAGGGCGTGGAGGCTGGCTCTGCGCTCAGAAACATGCGATAGTCCGGATGCGAATCCTCGGCGTAGTACTCCAGTTTCTTCTCCAGCACGGGCAGCCATTTCCGCACCAAATGAATATTCTGCAGCACCACCCAATGGCCGTTCTTGGCCGCCGTGTCCATGGCCGCCTCCGCAATGGCCTCCTGACCCTGTCCCAGCGACACATTATGGAAATTGCCCAGATCCATGGTGAAGCCGATTGTTTTGCCCAAGGCCTCCACATCTTTGAGGGGATTCACCCCGGGCGACAGTATAAAGAAGATCGGCGTGGATGGACTGGCCTCCTCGTACGACTTGGCAAACTCCATGGCGCGACTCTCCACATATTTGGAGCCCAGTTTCTCCTCAATAAAGTCGCTGCAGGGCATACACTATTCGTACTTTGTTTGGGCAAAAGAGTATCTGGCGT